AGTCACTCCTTGGACAGGAGTAGGCAGAGCACTGAAATCCCGTAAGCTTACTCCACGTTTCATTGGTCCTTATCAAATTCTTAAAAGAATCGGTGAAGTGGCCTATCAAATTGCTTTGCCTCCATCTCTTTCAAATCTCCATAGTGTCTTTCATGTTTCCCAACTCAGAAAGTATGTCCATGATCCTTCCCATATCATTGAGTCTGACAACATTCAGTTGAAGGATAATCTTACTTATGAAACGGTTCCTCTAAGGATTGATGACACGAGAGTGAAACAACTAAGAGGAAAGGAAATCCCTTTGGTTAAGGTCGTTTGGGGAGGAAATATTGAAGAAAGTGCTACATGGGAATTAGAAAGCAAGATGCGAGAAGCTCATCCATTTCTGTTTTCAGGTAAATTTCGGGGACGAAATTTCTAAAAGGAGGGGAGAATTGTAACACCCAAATTTTTATTATTATTATTTTTGTTAATGGCATTTTCGTAATTTTAATAAAGTTATAGGGATATTTTGGGTTTCGGAACGGGCCGTTCCAAAAGTGGAACGGGCCGTTCCAAATGTTGAAAATGTGAGGTTTTTGTAGTCCCAGAACGGGCCTGGAACGGGCCGTTCTGGTATGGAGAACGGGCCGTTCCGGATGGAGAACGAGCCGTTCTGCTGAGATTAAGAACGGGCCGTTCTGGTTTTAGAACGGGCCGTTCTGCTTTTTGGGAACGGGCCGTTCCGATTTTGGAACGGGCCGTTCCAGTTGAGAAATTTGCACAAATTCGAAGGATCCGGAACGGGCCGTTCCGAATTCAATACGGGCCGTTCCGGGTACACCAGTTTGCCTATAAATAGGGCAGGGGGGGTGAAAATTTTTATACAGAGAAGAAGTGAAATCCTAGAGAGAGAAAGAGAAGAGAGAGAGAGAGAAAGAGAGAGAAAAGGAAAAGAAAGAGGGGATCCAGAGGAGGAGGTCCTGCCCAAGTTCCAACTCCGCCTATCCAGGTAAGGGGGGGAGTGAGAACCTCGCTCAGGGGTGTGGGGATAATTGTTGGATAGTTGTTTGTCGGATTGGCCCCCAATCCCTTGCCGTTGTTCTGTCTGATTTTCTATTTACTCTATTTTGTTCTTTGTTGAAGATGCCGTTGTTCTGTTTGATTTTCTATTTACTTTACTTTGTTCTTTGTTGAAGGTGCCGTTGTTCTGTTTGATTTTCTATTTACTCTACTTTGTTTTTGTTGAAGGTGCCGTTGTTCTGTCCGATTTTCTATTTATTCTACTTTGTTTTTGTTGAAAGTGCCGTTGTTCTGTCTGATTTTCTATTTACTCTACCTTGTTCTTTGTTGAAGTAATAAATGAATATGAAATTAATGTTAATAATACATGAGTTTTAATATGAATAAGAATGCTCTCTGAATCTCTGTGAATACCTATGCGGACCTTATGAGGAGTATTGATGACATGACCATGTGAAATATGGACAAATGACATGAGACCTAAGAATTGACTATTGAGACAAACTATGATTATGAGACTATGACAAATGAGGACATGATGTACTAAATGAAATTATGTAATAAGTTAAATGTTGAGTCCATGAGATTATGAATGTATGACATGCATCATATGCATATATTACTCCAGGTGTGCCGCTGAGGCCGCATACCCACGACTAACAAGGTGTACCTTATGGTCACCCACGATGTAACATGCTAACAAGGTGTACCTTAGGGTCACCAGTGATGTAACCAGGTGTACCTTAGGGTCACCAACGATGAATTGTGAATCTTCCGTATGGCGCCACATGCATGCATTTATGAGTTGAGTCCATGACATCATAAGCATGATAAATGAGTATATATATGTGATATTGACTATTTATGTATTGTTTACATGTGACTTATATATGTTGTGTGTGTGTGTGCTATCTAGCAGTTATTTCTGCACCTGAAACTGAGTGAGATGTTTCTCACTCCCTTGTTGTTTTTGTATATGTTTTAAATTATGTTGCAGATAATCAGCATCATGGGGATGTTGGTGATGAGGCTTAAGGCTTCAGTGGGGCATGCTCTGATAGGATGTGACATCGGGCATAGCTAGGCTTGTTTTTGGGATGTTATTGTTTTAAAAGCTTTAATTTTCTCTTCTTATGTAATTTTGAACGTTCTTGAGGAAAGATCAAAATGTACATCTTTGTTATACTATTTTATTATATGATTTTAAAGTTATAAATTAATTCCTAACTAGGAGGCACTGCCACCTTTACTGGAGTTAATTTATATTTCCTTTATTTGTATATATATGATTTCTTGTTTTCCACTAAATTGTATTGAAAGTCTTAACCTCTTTTCTTTTATAATTTCTACACTGGAGTTATGATTTATGAGTTACGAATGTGAATCTTCTACCTTATAATATTTGAAACAATTATTTTATACATGAAAGATGTTATTAAACTATGAAAGATTTTATTTACCCAAAAAGAAGAAAAGAAAAATTTTATTGTTACATTTGTTGTATATTAATAATGGGGTAGAGGGTGTCACAATATGTGCGCCAGACGACTATAAGTCTAATATCAGACGAAGATGTGTGAAGGACAGCCTTCAATGCTACATAAGAAATTAGACGAAGCATGAGTCAAAGATCAGTAGAAAGTCAACAACATACAAGATGAAGGATAAGACAGCTTGGAAGATATTTCAAGACAAAAACAAGTCTATCCATCTGCGAAGTTAACCAGATCAAAAGATAGTCAAGGCATTAAACTCAAATGTTTAGACAAAAATCACAAATTGAGACGCATAGGACTAACAGACACAGACGAAGATTGCCACACAAGACTCAAAGAATCAAGTCTCAAAAGACTACTAAGGCATCGTCTACAATCACACGAATGCTCTCAACATAGCGTGATGAAAGAAGAAGAAGAAAAGCACGCAAAAGAAAAATTATGCATGTGTCAAAAAAAGTAAATCACTTTTTCAGGTAAGGACAACACTCTACAACTACACACCTAAAAAGGAAAAAAAGGTTCCTAGGTCTCTGCCAAATTCAGACACAACTGCCAACAAGGAAAAGAAGACTTCACGCAAGGTCTATAAAACAAGAAGCAACATTTAATGCAAGATCTTGAGCATTAAATGAAAGATCAAACTAGTCATGAACGACTATATCTGCTTCAATGAACACTTGCAACGGGAAAAATCCACAATACAATATATATATCACTAACTCAAACCTTGAAAGGTTGGCTTTTGAAAAAGGAAAAAGAGTGATATCCATCCCACGAAGCAACGAAGCTAGAGATAGAGCGTATAGAGTCAAATGTACCATAGTGAATTTATCTTTGTAGACTAAGGAGTTCTAAGTGCAACTTAGAAACATGAACCTTAGTGAGTGTATTTATCTTTGTATCCTCTCTGTGAGAGTAAACCTAACACTCAATCATTGTCAAACTAAGGTTGCATATACCTTAGTGAGTGTTGTAAACCTTTGTATCCTCTATGTGAGAGTAACCCAAACAGTTAAACCAAAATCATACATTCATCTACTGTAAAGCCTGAAGAGGCTAGGCAAAGAATACTTGTAAAGCCTAGAGAGGCTTGTCAAAGAATACTTAATGCAAGCCAGAAGTGGCTGATCAAAGAATACTAGCGTTGACAAGTAAAGTTGACGGGTCAGGAGTTGGTCGACAATACTCACTGAGAGCTAGAAGTGGTTGAATAAAGAATACTAGCACTAGTGGTGAAGCTAGCGAGCCAGGAGTTGGTCAATAATATTCGCTGAGAGTCAGAAGTGGTTGAGTAAAGAATACTAGCGTCAACGAGTGAAGTTGACAAACCAGGAGTGGTTGAGAATACTTGGACCAGGAGTGGTCGTAACCTGGGTGGTCTAGAATACTCACTGCTAGCCTCAAGAGGTTGATTAAAGAATACTAGGACCAATGAGTGAAGTTGGCCGACCAGGAGTGGTCGTGACCTGGGTGGTCTATAATACTCACTACAAGCCTGAAGAGGCTGAATAAATAATACTTGTACTTCATTGAACATCCAGTGGAACCTTTCATTTGAAGAAGACTGGACATAACTCAGTTTGAGCGAACCAGTACAAAAATACTTGCACTATCTTTATGTTTCAAACGCATTATTTTATTTTGTTGATTTAATATACTGAAAACTTCGTTTAATGCTCATCATCTATTAAAACTATCCTTGGAGAAAATCACACTTATGCAATTGTTATCTTAAAGAATGGTTTTCGGTTACGAAACATTTTCCTTGAGCAGACGATAAATTTCCAGACCCAAAATTATTTTGTTAAACCTATCCTGGGCAGTTCCAGTTTAACATTTACCTATGTTACTTTTATTGGACGAAAGAGAGTCTTCTTGCAAAAACGTTCTTAAAATCCTTTGTTCTCTCACACACACATATTCAACCCCCCCTTCTGTGTTTTTTTCATCTAACTTCATAAACAAGATTGGTTCAAGAACAACGATAGTAGTGATAACGGCGGTGGTGATGACAGTGAGTGATGTTGATGATGATAGATATGGAGGCAACAAAAGTAAATATCTTATAAATGAGTGTCTATAATAAAGTTTTAATTTCGATCATTAGCTATTTTTATTTATAATCTACGAAATCTATTTTTTAACACTCTTATCTCTCATAATAAGACATGCTCTCATTGGATACACCTTGTGATTAAATGCAACATTAACAAGGAATGTTTTAGCATTCTTTTTGTCCCATTTTGTTTGTCATTTTACTAAAAAAAGATTTCATTTTGATTGTTATTTTAAAATATAAAAAAAGTATTAAATATTTTTTTCTATAATATTCTTGAATATTCATTATAAAATGAGAAACTAAAATAAAAATAAAGACTAGAAAATAAAACTAATAAAAAAGAAATATATTTGCTATGAATTTAAAATATTAATTGTGTTTATTAATTCTACTACCAAAATGTCAAGCAAAATAGGAGACTAGACCCTAAATTCAAACAATATTAATTGCATTCTTAATTAAGTGAATTCTTCCTTCATTATTCACTTTTTTTTATTAGCAAACAAATGACTAGATGTTAGATATATCATATATATATGGGTACAAGATGTACCCTAACCCTTACAAAAAACAAAATGAAAACATTATAAAGCTTTTGAGCAGAACAAAGAAATTCATCGACCATTCAAGAAGCGAAAAAGAGAAATCTGCCATCTTTGCATTCAACCAGAGAAAAAGAGGAATCCTTCATTATTCACTTCATTAACTCACTTGTCCATTCCATGACTTGAGAAGTTTCTCTAATGCCACATGTGAAGACCCACCATCCATCAAAGCAGCCTTTGCTTCATCCTTGGCAACCCCGACTCGAATCCTAACTTGCTTACCTCTCTCCGATTCCATCAACTCCCTAACTCGCTCCTCCACCTCACTTGCCGCCACAAAACCCGCCGCATTCTCATGCATCCACAGCGCAACCTCCATTGCCTCCACCACCACCACCCTATTGAACCTTTGCTCCGCATAAAGCGGCCATGCAATCATCGGCACCCCGCCGCACACAGCTTCCAGCACCGAGTTCCACCCACAATGACTCACAAACCCACCCACCGAGTTGTGACTCAGCACCGCCACCTGTGGGGCCCAATTTTTCACCACAAGGCCCTTTCCCTTGGTCCGGTCCAAGAAACCCTTTGGAAGCAAAGATTCCAAATCCGGGTCCTCTTGTATTCCCAAAGCAAGGTTATGGTTTTGGTCGTTAATAGGGTTGCGAACTACCCACAAGAATCGTTGTCCACTTTTTTCTAACCCTAAAGCAATTTCACGTAGTTGCTCCCTTGAAAACACACCCAAACTTCCAAAACATAGAAACACGACACTCTTACTAGGTTGTGAATCCATCCACCTTAAACATTCATGGTCACAAGTGTTTTGGTATTGGTTAGTGGTGGTGCTTACTATAGGGCCCACACAATAAAGGGGTGGTGTGAAAGAATTTGGTAGGGCTAAACCGTTAGAAATTGCTTTGATGCTACTTGCTTCAAAAGCTTCGAATGTATTGACAATATACCCTGCGGCTTTGGGTGCAGCGAGGCTACAATTTAGCAAGCTTTTGTAGGATTCGTCGTTGCGTTCGAGCATGGGTTTTGGCATGTCGCACGTTGGCATTGGTGGGACTCCTGGGATGTTAAGAAAGATGTTGAGTTCTTTAAAGCTCTTATTGTAAGTGTCATGGAGTGTGGGAAGGTAAAGAAAAGACGAGAAGCCTGAAGCACCAAAAGGCACAAAAATGTAGGCAGGCAAGTTGAGTTGTGAAGCAATGGAAAGAGATTGGGAACATAAAATGTCTAAGATGAGGGCTTGGATGGTGTGGGTTTTGGAGATGGAAATTAGGGTCTGGTGGATGTGTGGGTGGTTGTGGTGGAGGAGGTGGAACAAGAGGGTTTCATGGTTGAGTGTGGATGAGAGAAGGGTGTGAGGGGGTGTGAAGGTGGGGAGGTTGTGGAAGGTGATGGAAGGGAGGGTGGCGGAGATGGTGGAGATGTAATTAGAAGTGGAGGATGTGTCGTAGGGTGGTGTGGTGATGAGCATGTGAAGGGAGAGGGATGGTTGGTGAGTGAGGATGAGCTTGCATAGTTCTACGATGGAGATTAAGTGGCCTATGAGAGGTGCTGGGTAGAAAACTATTGCTTCCTTCATCATTTTCCCTTGTGGTTATTACTTGTGTGATAAGGGCGTATGTATCTTTAAAATTGCATGATGTTTTTGTGTGGGTGTAATTTTCCTATGTACTTGATAAGAATTAATTAATAATTTTTGTGTGAATCTTAAGAAAGGAGGATCTCCAACGCACTTTCTTATGTTGAAAACGTGAAATTTAAGACTAATAAAAACTATTAATATAGCCATTAATACTATCTTAAGTGGTAGATCGACGTTTACAAAGAAAATAGTACTATAGGAAATAAAGACGGAAAGGACGACAAACAAAAGTTAGGTAAAATAAAAAAACAATTCAACTACCCTTCCTCTCCTAATGAACTCAACTCTCGAGCTTCACTGGGTTCACCCCATGTGGAAGATGTAGGTTAATAATCCTAAGCTATATATGTAGGTGTAGCTCAATGCTATGTCTATCACAACCGGAGCAAACTATTGACAGAAGTAGAACCGAATTCAGTCACGTGACTCAGATAAATATGTCGTGTGATAAGCAAGTCCAAGACGGAGTCACACCAAGAATTCAAGCGTCTACCAATTCAACATACTTTCGGCGTGTTTGGAAAATCATTTTTTTAACAAAAACGTAAAAACATACTTTATAAAACACTAAAATACAAAATAATTATTTCTATCTTTTCCGTTTAAAGTACAATAAAACAAATACATACTTTATCTCATGCTCATACAGTAGCCAATTTCAAGTTATGTCCTAGACAAATGTGTGATTTTCTCCGGTAAGGGTATCTTGACAAAAAGTCTCTAATGCCCATAGTTGTAGGTTTATATTTTTAATTAGAAAAGCTCTTCCATCAAGCCTTGATTTATTTGGATAATATAAAAGCCTAAACCGACCCACTCAATTAAATGTAAGAAGTTTTTTTTTTTTTTTTTCCTTTGAATTGTGTGGGATTATGTATCGTTGTTTAGTTATCCTTTTAATAACTTTTCAAAATTGATTTGTAATTGAATACTCAATGACTTTATAACAAGCTTTGGGTCCATTTAGTCTTAAGATTGGAGTTACTTTGTGTCTATAAGGTATTGATTAGAATTTATAATACCAAATAATAAATATAAAATAATTAATTAATTAATTATATATAATATAAAAAATAAAAATAATACTATAATCATAATAAAAGTAAAAATTAAAAATAAAAATAAAATTGTACTATAGTTGTAATATAATGTAAAACATTTAAAATAATATATAAAACCAATATTTTAAAGTAAAATAAACAATAAAAAAATTATCACATTATTATATTTTGTTTCTAGAATAATATAATAGTATTATTGAAATAAATATGTTAGATATTTTAAATTGATAAGTATGATATATATAACTTATTTAAATCAAGACATCAAATTTATTAAGATGTTTTAAAATGATAAGTTATAAAATAAATTATTTAAATTAAAATACATTAAATTTATTATATAGTGCGTGAAAATTAATATTTTAAAAATTAATTTTAAATTAAAATTAAAATAATGTTAAATTCAAAATATCTTTGATAAAAATATGTTTAATATCTCTTAATAATGTAAGATAAGACTCATAGGAGAAAGTTTCTTTTTTCTTCCCTTTATCTTCTCCGTTTTGTTTTCAGTTGAGTCTTCATTCCTTACCATTTTTCACAGTTGATCACAAGAAGGGGTGAGGAAGTTCAAGTTCTAGGGTTGAGGAATTTCAAGTGCGGGATTGTCTTTTCCTTCTCCATTTCTACTTTAGAATTTTTCATTCTTCTTGTCTTCTTCCTTAGAGAGCTCAAAATCAATGTAAAGGAAGCTGAAAACTTGGATTTTGATGATTTGTTGGGTTGTTGAATGAATTGAGACTTAGAATTGGTAGAATCTTTGAAAATCTGGGGAAAGAATTTGAGGTGATTGCATGTTGAAAACTAAGGGTTTGGTTTTATTGATGGAAGGATGAATGTTGATGATTTTCTTTGAGCCTTGATGCATGCATGTTGAATTTCTTGAGGTTTCTGGGTTACATAAACAAATTTAGTATATATTATGAATGTAGATCATGTTTAAGGGAAAATTGGTGAAATATAGGTAAGGAACAAAGGTGGGAAGCCATGAAAGTGAATAAAACTTTGCACTCAATGCTAAAGTGTTGGTGGACCACTACAACCGTGAGAGAAAATAAGGTGGCAGAGCTACAGCGCTGCAGCCTTGAGGGGAAAAAATTGGCAGATATCTAGTGCTACAACGCTGAGTTGAGCCCTGCAGCTCTAAGAGAAAATGAAACTGGCAAAAATCCAATGTTGGAGTGCTGAATTGAACACTGCAACCTTGGGGGTAGATGACCGAATTTGGTCTTGAGGTCTGCATTAAAGTTTTAGTCTTGGATGTTAGTTTTTCAATGGATCTAGAATTACCTAAAAAGAAGGTTTAGGACATCAATTATGACCTTTTTAGCGAGCAAAGGTCAAGCTGTATAACATTTAGGCAAATGGTTACGGTTTTGACAATTTTTAACATGAAAGATGAGGGAATTAGACTTGAGTTCTGCATGAAAGTTGTAGAAAATCTTCTTGTCTTTCATATGAGATAAGGATGAGTATGATAAGAGTAGTAGAACTCCCCATGTTTTGTTTTATGTGAAGATTGTCATAGTAGGATAAATGATTTTGCTAAGATATATATTGATACATATGTTGTATGATAGGTGAATTTGGTGAACATGAATAGAATACTTGTATCAATTTCATGTTGTGTGGTGTAGGGTGATGATAATAAGCATTGGTATGGCATCTTTGTGTACTTTAAATGATAAGGAGCATTGGCATGCTATCTTTGTGTACTTGAAATGTTGATGAGCATTGGTATATTCAATATGGTTGACATGTTATGTTTGAATGAATTGTGGAGCATTGATATGTTATTATTGTAAGAGTTTTTAAGCATTGGTATGTGATTCTTTCTTGAGATGTTAAGCATTAATATGCTATATACATGATTGATGTTATTGATCTTTATATGCATTAACTGGATGTGATGTATCTAATAGATGCATGGTAAGGTGTAGATGCCGAGAATGGGGTGTGGCATTAAAACATGATGGCTAACTTAGGATTTGAGGAGAGAAAATTATTTTGAAAACTGAAGATCCCATAGGGTATCTTAGAGTGGTGCTTAGGTAGGCCACTACTTGGAGTAGGTTTTGAGGGGTGTTGAGTCTCCTCCAAGTCCTTAGTTAGTGGTTGAGTAAGGTAGGAGGTTGAGGGCTACAATCCTTAACCAAGCACCTGGAAATGTTGTGTGGTTCCTTAAGGATAATTAATGGACGAATTCCATATGTGGCTTGATAATGCATGCATGGTCATGGTAACCTGAAGGTGAAACTGGATTTTCCTAGTGTAAATATGAGACTCGAGAAACCAGAGGAGGGACTGGTATCCCATTTTTCTATGATTGAGCCGACGCTTTGAGTGTGAAAATGATTGGGTTGCTTTGATATGATGAAAATCACTTAGACTGTTTATGTTGTTAGGAGATCTTCATAGGTGAATGTGTGGTGACGCATTGGTTGTTATGTTTGCATATGATGTATATGTTGAGGTGTGTTCATGTGCATTGTTGATGTTTTGTGGGACATGATTGAATGAGGTACATGGTTGCTTCAAGTATGTTAGGTTTCATGTACGATATTTGGCGTGATGTGGTGTATTATAGACTTGCTTTTTATATGTACATGTTTTTGAACTATAGCTTACCCTTTTTATTTCTATGGTGGTTTAAACTATGATGATCATACGTTATATATATGGGAACAGATCAGGGCTAAGCTTGAGCTGTTGCAGACAGACGTTGTGATCCTTTTGATAACAGTACTACTGATGATAACATGATGATAAAATGTTGATCAATGTTTTTTTAAAAAAATAATAATACATTATAAATTTGAATTTAATTTTAATTAAATAAGTAGCATTAATAATAAATATAAAAATTTATTAGTTAAAAATAAATAAACTAGTTTTAGACTAATACTGTAATTTTAATAAATAAAAAATATTATTATAATGATAATATATTAATAATTTAAAACAATATAATACAATATTATAAATAAACATAGTAAAATAGTCATACATATTAATGAATGGTTATAATAATAATAATTATTATTATTATTATTATTATTAAAATTTTTATAAAAATTAAAAAAAATACTAAAATATAAAAATATTTATGAATGTTCAGAGAAGGTCCCAAGCCTAATTATTATGACATATATACATATATGTCATAATAATTAAAATATATGAAATTGAAGTAATTCTGGAAATCTTTATTTTTATTAATATATTATTTTTTAAAATATAACTATTTAGAAGAAATTCAATTGTGACTATATATATAATTCAAATAAAAAAAATAATATCAATACTATAAATTGAAACATAAAAATAATAATTCAATGATAATATATTATTAATTTAAAATAATATAAATTAAGTTGTAAAAAAATAGTAGAAATTAATATTATAAAAAACATAAAATAAATTATTTATACTCATAAATTTACAGGTACCAAGTATAGTTATTAATATATATTTATTTATTTTGTTTTTTAATTAAAATTTAAGAAAATAATTTTAGTGAATTCTTGTTAATTAATATTTTAAAAGTTAAAAAATAAATAGTTATTTATAAAAAATAATTATACTATAAAAAATTATTTAGATTCAAAAGGGAGAAAAAACATTTGAATAAAAAAGTAAAAATAAAATAAAGAGTTATTAATTAATTATAAAAATTTAATTATAATATTAATGAATAAATAAATGATATTTAATGACATATTAAATGACTTGTCAATTAAATACATGTAACTACATCCTACTCAAAATTGGTTGTTTAGTTATCCTTTTCAAAATTGATCTTAATTAAATTTTTGATCTTAATCGTTGAATTACTAGAATAAATAAAGTCAAAACTTGGGTTAGGTGATAAAGGTAATGTGAGAGTAAAGTGTGGTATCTCTTGCTTTGTTTTGTAGCCTCGTAGTAATGTTTTAAAAATTAAAAAAATAAGCTATGCTTTTTAAGTTCACAT